CAACTCCAATTAATATTTATTTAATTCCTTGTTGCTCTGTTCAGATTAACCTAGTCTGAGAAACCAAGATATATGAAACCATAGCGCATTTGTAAGATATGACTGTTAAAAAGTGAATAGTCACCTGGCTATAATCTTGTGTAATAATATGGAGATTATGACTTGTACACAACAAAAGGAGGGCAGAAGGACATCGCTCTGATTAACAGCATTTGTAGAAACAGCTAGAGAGTGATCATGTGACATTTGTACAAATCCCAGACTGTCAGTTCGCTGTCAACACCTTTGGGTGGCGCTGTACTCGTTACTATTGGCTTTGAATCTGATCTTTCTGACTGTCCAGCTTGCCCCCTGCTTAGCGAAACCAGCCCAGCAGTGGATTTTACAGGGTGCTTAAAATGCTTAAGACTTTTGTGATGGGGGATTAATCCATATGAAGAAAATGTTGATGTCTGGGTGCCTGGTTTTCCATTTGTGACCCTCAGCTGAGCCTCCGGGACTAAGAGGCAGATGATCGACAGGGGAACTTGCGGATCAGTTGGGGACCCAAACAAAGACTCTTCAACACTCTGTAAAGATTGAACCAGATGTAGGTACAAAGGGACAGGCTAACAGATATGGTCATATTAACTAAGGTCAAAGATCATCAAAGATGATGGAAAATATCTGAAATCAGAAAGGCAGGGGGAAAAAAAAACAATGAACAAAACAATATTATTAAGGCGGGGACCTGAAACTCATCAACAAAAGTTGGACGAGCAGAAATGTCTTCTACAGACATTTTTTTAAACAACAAGGACATATCAGCATAATTCTGTACGCATGGCGTGAGTTTATCTCAGGGTCATGACTAGATAACCTCAAATTTGTCAATTCAGTGTTTTTTTCCCCATTAAAGACCTAGAAACAAAAAGCAGGGTGACATTAAATTGTCGGAAAGGAAAGACAAGACAGAAGAGAGATAGGAGTAATATATAATAATAATAATAATAATAATAATAATAACATAAAAAAATGATACAATGAAACAACCATTAGCTGATTCAGTGTTGAGATGGTGATCCCAGCCAATGGTAACATAACACATCCTTGCAGATAAGCTTTGAGCCATGCATGTGCTATGGTTTTCAGACTATTAAGCAGTATTTAAGTAGTCTGTAAATCAGGCAGAATTGCTTAGCAAATGTGTTAATAAAATGTGCTTTTACGTATTCATTCACAATTAAATGCAGATGAGTTAAAAGTAGATGGGTAGAATCAATTTAATCAGTCTACACTTAAAGGTTATGCATGGGTGCATCAGACTTTCAACAAAAGTTCAACAAAAAGTAATTCCAGATTTCTTATATGCGGAACTCAAATGTTTCAGGTAAGAAACCTCAAACTACTCAAACTTGTTTCGCTGCCAATTGCTACATTAACATTAACAATTATGATACATACGTTACATATTATTAATATTTTTTAAATAGTAAATCGTAAATTAGGCTACTAGAAACATACATAACATAACATGTCGGGACTTAATAGTTGTCATTATGAAAACGACAATGCTCCCATTTTATATTTTTACTGTATATATTTGTAATGTTAATTGTGTACATTCTGCTATTGTAAACCTCTGCCACATAATGAATAACTTTTTTGACTTCATAAATTGATTGAAAAAAAATCTATAATACGTAAAGTACAAGTATTTATGAACAGAGATTAAACATAACGCTAATTAACAATACAGAAGTTGTGCAGTCTCTTCAAACTAGCAGAAATGCCGACTAACAAGATAAATAAGTGTAAACTGTAGTATCGATAACATGAAAGTCCTTAGCAAAGTGTGATTATAATGAAACATCACGTTTCTGCTGAATACTTAAATCAACAGAACATACAAACTCCACAGCCGAAGGATCCCAGGATGCTTCAGCAGAATGCAAAATGCAAGGCAAAACCAAGACGGTTTAGCACAACACTCTCACCCTGACTATGATAAGCAGCTGGAAGATGGAATGAAAGATTGATAGATGTATGGATGGATATTTCAATAAGTCTTAAGTCTGAAGTCTTAAGTCAGTGCCGACCGTTCACTCTGTTTAAAACAACATGCCCAGTCCATGCTGATGAAAATCAGACGCGTAACATGATTCTACCACCATCGTACTTTACTTTCTTACTTTTTTGAAGTGTGGGAAGTGCTAGATTTGTGCCGCACATCCTGCTCTGGATTTTTGCTAAAAAGATGCATGTACTTCTCATCTGACCACAAAATCTTTCCTCCCCACATCGCAGCTGAGTCACTGTCGTGATTTCACCATCAGATGAGCTTTCAAGGAGTTCTTTTTGGGTCACGCCTCCTTTGTGCTGCTCTCGCATACTGGCCAGTGTTATAGAGAGATCTTGATGTGGTTGAGTGGCGCACCTTTATCCCACTGCCAACCACTGAACAGCTTCAGAGCCACATTAAAATGACTGCTGGCCTCCCCAGTGCTTCTGTTTCTATCCCCTTGTTTGCACTGAGAGTTTTGAGGGACAGCCTTTTTATAGACGATGTCTGGGTGGTTTTAAGCAACTTCCACGTTCGGATAATTGAATAGTGTCACATTAACTAATTTTTTGTTCCACTGGCTTTGAAATATAAATATTGCAGAATACAGAATTTTAATGTAGGGTTTGCAATTCAACAAAAGGAGAGAATTGGTCCGGAGTCTGAATACTTACAAGTTTCCATTTCATTGTTAACAAAAAGCACTGGCTGTGTAAATTGTCACATATTGCAAAGCATATACTGAGCTTCTAATTTTTAAGCATATTGTAAATATAATAAACGTCTTTACAGATTTTACAGAGATTCATCCCCTCTGCATAGTTAAATCATTCAAGCATTTTTCCAGTGATAAAAAAAATAAAAAATATGCATGGAAAAGTCTGCATATTTAAATGATGTCACTAACTACTGCAACAACAATCACATGTAATCATTAATGCAATACTCTCCATGATCTAGTACCGAAGTCATATACAAAAAAACTGCAGGATGAGTATTTGACCATTTAAAAATTATTTTGGCTGCACCCTCAAGTGGATGATGTAAGCTGTTCTTCGCAGAACGCGTGCCAAAGAACTACACACCAAGTGGTCTGAGTGGGACTGGGTCTATGCAGACTCATACATCCATCTTCTAAGCACTTATTCAGGTTGCTGGGGGGGGGGGGGGGGTTGGGACTCTGGATGGGGATGCCAGATACATAAACACGCTCACACACACAATGATACTGCATGGGCAATTGAAATGTCAATTAGCAATTAAACTGCATTTCAATGACTAGATAAAGAACCTCCCACCTTTTACACTGTGTTCATACATAAGATTTGCTTCTCTGTTACATGTAGAATATTGCGGTACTCGTTTTAATACACTTATATAATTTCTATGCATTTATACAGAATTATATGGATGTTTAATAGATGCATATGCATCTGGAGAATCAGCTATGTTTGGCATGAGTTAAGTACCTTTGGAGATTAGCATCCATTTTATCCAATTTTCCTTGTAGTAATACTGGCGACAGTACAGAAATTCCATTGTTATAATGCTTAGCAAGTATTTTATTCTATTTCCACATTTATACCAATTATTATAGTTTTATCTGGTACTACCTGTAGCACCATACTACCTGCCAGCTATGTATACTTTCCTAGTGGAAAAAGCTGCAGTATTACATGTCGCTTTCACCTGCTAAATGGTTAGATCCGATCTGAAACATTTGGAAGATGCACTCTGAGATATGCAGAGATATGCAGTGACTGAGATAAGTCACTGAGGAAAAACAGCACGATCATTTTCACTCTTATTAATCCATGTGCATTCATGACAGGGAACTACTCAGCAAAGCACTTAAATTTCATTGCTGCTCAAAATCTATTCAAATATTATTTAAGTGCTATGCATGGTACTATTATTTTATTATTATCAGTAATAATAATAATGATAATAATAATGATAAGGAGAAGAAGAAGAAAATATTAACAATAAGTTATTATTATTAGTAGTAGTAGTAGTATTAGTAGCAGTAGTTGTAGTAGTAGTATTATTATCTGAAAATGTAAATCACAGAACCTTTAATAGTTGTCATGCCTATGCGTATGATTTACAATTTAACTTTTTACACTTGGAATACAGAAAGGGAATGAGATTTGCATAGGGCTGAAATACAGCTGCAGCCACAACCCGACATGTGAAATCTAGCAGGTCTGTAGCTAGTAAGTGAAGAGGGCCACAGAGAATACTGGGTCCATTCCAAATCACTTCCAAATAAATACATTTTCACTGAGATGTTGATGGTAGATTTAAACAGAAAATGAAAGAAACGTGTAATGATGAAACTGCAACTAAACATTTCTCTACGTACTGCAAAGTGTGTGCTTCTTATCATACCTTATCATCATGTGATTTAAGCACAATTAATTTAAGAATTTAAATATAGCTTGGAAATTGGCTCTGTAGGGCTGTTATTATCAAATCCTGAGCTTAAACTGCTACATTCCTCCATCCAGACAAATAACAAGTCAAGATGCTTCCGTTTTATTACTGTAATCTCGGTTTTTGCTCTGCCATGAATTTGAATGGAATGACCATAGTTTAGGGAGCAATTAGCATTTGTTCTATAATCCCTATCTGTATCCACTAAGATGTGAAATACAGTCGACCCGTCAATGCATAAAATTTTTTTGGTCCCCTTGGTGAGAACCCTTTGGTCCCCTTCGTGCTGAAACACGAAATACAATGATATATCACATGAGAGGTCGCCGTAAACACACTTAGCGTCCTCCAAACCAGCACTGTATATACATTTTATGCATAAAGCCCCCAAAAAATTCCACATTTAATTTCTTATGCCAATCCCGCGGTATATCAATACTGCGACTGGGAAAGCCGCGACGCAGAAAGGTCGACTGCATGGTACTTCAGAAGAATGAATCGAATGTAATTCAGATGCACCCACCTCATGGCAATCTTGAAGAAAACTCTGTAACTCCCACTGCTCATTCAGTCTGTCGAGCCATTGCTGAGCGAGGTTGCGGTTCTGTGCTCCCCTGTGCAAACACAACATAGTCGAGTCAGTTTACTCTTCCATTGACTTGAGGCCTTTACAGAACTATACAACTTACAACACAGAAACTGTGAAAGTGGAAGTTTCAGATCACCAAAAAACAAATGCATCTGCAAGTCAGGATAGGCTATGTCTCTAGAGGCAGGGAAAATTCTTTGCAATTCCTAATTTGCATAAGCATAAGAATGGAATTTGGTTTCCACACACGATTGGGGGGGGGGGGGGTTATCATATCATATATTTCCCCTTGGCATCCTACACACCCAGATCTTTGTTCTCGAACTGTTTCCCTTTTATTTTCAATCCTTTTCTGTTTACTTTGTTTTAATGCCTCTTACCCCAAATAAAGTTATGGTTTATGCCCCCCATTCTCGTCTCACATGATTCTGTTCATCGTCAGACTGAGGAGTCAGAATTAGCGTTATTCTATTCATGTGAAACGTCTTACCCCTTTAAGCTAGGGGTTCCCAAACTTTTGATGACAATATGAAATTTCAATTTGTTGACCTTGGGGGATTGACGGGCAAGGCGTTTCTGCTGCTTTTTAACATGCACTCACAATGCGTGAACATCGGGTCAGACACGCTAACCCTGCAACCAAACCTGCAGAATCCCACGGCCCAGTAGAAAGGTTGGACACCCCTGCTTTAGCGTTTTAGGACTCTAGGTCTTCAATTAGCCTGCAGAATCTTGTTTAAGTCGTGTTCAGTAAGTAATTAACCCGACTGCTAAGTGCAGGACTGCAGCCCAGCCGAGGTGGTTCAGCGCACAATACAGGAAAGACTCGGGACAGGATGCCAGAACATCAGAGGGAACACAGTGACACTCACAATCAAACTGGAAATTCAGGGATGTCATTCCACTTAAACTGTTTGTTAATGGCAGGAATCCCATATGAAACGGCATGCAAGCATACCAGTCCCGTAGGCATAGTGCTATATACTGGCTTTCAATGGCGCCTCTAAGCTTTAATCATTCACTTAAAATTGCATCACAAATGTTAAGAAAACCAGTGATATATTTGCAGTCTAAAATACAACAAAGCACTAAAGGGTACATGCACTTGTTTCATTTAATGTTTCCATACTTTGTTAAAAAAAGGAGACATATTATTATTATTATTATTATTATTAATATTATTATGCACTGTATTATTATTTTTCTGATTTACCTACAGATTCAACTTAAAGACATCGGGAACGGAACTTTTTCATAATCAGGGTAACTCACCTGTACTGGTGGTCTATACAAACTACTTACCATTTAGTAAGTAAACTATTTTTTTCTATCTGTCTATGTGCCTCAAAGACACTTTTCCATTGCTTAATCCTGTTCTAACAACGCAAACACACCAATTTTGAGCTTTTATAGTAATACCACGACCAGAAGACCTAGACAGTTACAGTAGGTGGTCTTGGTTTTCCCACATAAAGTTCCCCAGTATAATTCTGCCTTTTTGTTTATTGAGATCAACAGAAACCTATTGAAAACATATTCAGGCAAAAGATTGAGCAAACAAACCATGAACTGGGACGATGATGGTGTTTTCCTTGTGTAATTACTGAGGTAATGTGGCCCTGTGGACTGGACCTCACCTGTTGTTGAGGGTCTGAATCCGCTCTTTGATTCGCTCAGAGTAGATATTTCGCTGTCCAATCAGACTATCCCCAGCCTCAATGACAGCCTTAATGCGATGCAGGTTGAGCTCCATGGTGGTAGTGAAGTCCTTGTGCTTCTTGATGGCAGTCTCAACTGTCTCCACTGTAGTGGGCAACTCTATATGAGCTAGGGATGATTCCTGGAAAGACAAGGTGTACAATTATTTTTGAGAGATAAACAGGATCAGTATGGTGGCTTAGGAAAGAGCGGTGTTGGGCTAAGTGCCTTCCATGTATACAGGGCTGTGCTGTTGGGGTGTGCTTTTGAAAGCTTCCTGTGTTTTTTGGTGCTCTCACAGAGTTGTCCTATCTAGAGAATCTGTAAAATACGAGTGAGAAAAAAAGTCTGAAAATCTGAGAAAAAAGGCTCAGCAAGGAAGGCGGAGTGAAGGTGGATGACTGCCACTGTGGAGGCTCTGGGGTAGACCCAGAAAAAACAGCAGACCTCCGAACCTGAGCCCAGAGCTTGACAGAAAATGATGAACGCAAGCAGAGAAAAGGACCCAATTCTTGTGGACGGAAGAGTCTGAACTTTTGAGCAATTCTCGGCTGCAGAAGAATAGAGCAGAAATGGCCGAGGTTAGGAGACAATCGTGTGAAGCAGATATTCATTCCTGTATCGCAATAATCAAGGTGAACAATGCTTCAGAGACTCCACTACTCTATCCAATGTGAAAAGCAGACGGCTGTCTCTGGGGGGATTCTAGGGTTAGATACTTAGGGGGGCTGAGTCCTCTGATGAAATACGGGATGCCCTGCCTTCCACCGTAACATTTTCCAAACAGGGCAGGGGTCTACCGATGTTTGCTGAGCCGGGGTACTATGATTTATATACAAAATTCAGGACAAAAATTGCTAAATGTATTTAGCAAAGTTATTTCTAAGGAGGCTGAGATAAAACCCCCCCTCCAAAATAGGATCTGAAACCACCTGTCTTATGATCCTGCAACAGCAAAAATACTCCCTCACCTGTGTGAGTGAAAAACAATTAATTTAAACCAATAACCTAGTGTACTACAGCAAGCCAACATCAATTTCTCTTTGTCGGGATATATTATTGAATTTTGAGTGCTGAAAATCTGTCTGATGAAGCAGATTCTGATATCAAGGTTAGGCCTATAAGTTTTGCCTATTTTAATCTGTAGTTGCTTTCATGGTTAATTGGTATACAAAAACTCTGAATTATACCGATACAGAAAGGGTGAACTACGTTATTTTATTGCAGCTTTTCTTTTACAGACCTTTTAGGCAAACGTCCATCAAAAAGACTCAACAAGCAATTACATTATATATAATATAATAAATGCCCTAAAACTAAATAAGATTCAGTTTCTTTTACAAGAAACACATTTGAATGGCACAGAGCATGAAAATTTAAAATATGAATGGGTTAGTCAAATCTACTATTAATAATTTTCTACATTTTCTGATTGAGTATCCCATCTTCTGCATCCAAATCTTCCTTTCACTACCAATTTGTTATCCAAGTTGTGGATAAGGACAAAACGTGGGGATAGTTAAAGAAGGACTGCTTGATCAAGTAGCTGTAACGGGTGATTTCACCTTTCCATTCTCTCCAGTAACTAGATTACAGTAACTATGTCACCAGTGGCCTTACCGAACTCCTGTGTGGAACTGGGTCTTTTAATCTAATGGTTAGAGATTTTCATTTAGTTTATTTAGCAGATGCATTTGTCCAAAGGGACCTACATGTTAGAGATGGCAGGGTCACACAGTCCCTGGGGTATTCGGGGGTTAAGGGCCTGGCTCAAGGGTCCAACAAATCATTCTCCCATCCCCAGGATTTGAATCATCAACCTTCTGACTGCAGGCACACACCATCCCCAGACAGTACCAGTAATTCACATCAAGCAGTATCTTACATTGATTTCACCCATCTGGCCAGCTACATGGTCCATTTGGTTAAAAATGTTAATATGGGATCAGGCGATGGTGGCTTGGAAGATACACGATTTTTCTGGCGCTCCACCCTATTAAAATTTCATCCTCTCAAAATTTTCATTTACTTATATGAAAGACTGCATTTTTCTCTACTTTGGTAATGTAATCGTTGTATTATGTCCCTGGAAAGCTTCTGGCCTGAATCCTTTGTAAACATGCCAAAGGCCATAAATATAATAGACAGAAAAGACCTGCCCCCATATCATGGTGATCAAGCTGATGGAATACCTTGGGGAAAAATAATTTAGTACCCCTGTTCTAGAGCAGTGATTCCCAACCCGGTACTTGGGGACCCCCAGTCGGTCCATGATTTTGCTCCCTCCCAACTCCCTGCTAGACAGTCCATATTTTTGGAGGAGTTGGGAGGGAGCAAAAACGTGGTCAAGCCTGATTAAGTCAGACAGATTTCATTGTAACTTTGCTTCTGTACTGGGGGGCTAACAGAACAGCACTTTTGGTCTTGGTGAGGTTTCATAATATTCATGAAAACAGGAACTGAATACAGCTTAATGTATCAGCGAAACAAGATATCACTCTATCAAGCCTTCTCAGCAGCTGTACTCCGTCATTTAATCCTTTATAATGGGGAAATACAAACCAAGAGCGCCATCTAGTGGCATCAAAAAATACAGAAAATAGTTAATGAAGCTTCATTTGGTAGTGATGGCCAAATGAAGCTTCATGAACCACTTGCTGTATTTTCTGACCCCACTAGATGGTGCTCTCTGTTCAAAAAAGGGCTCAAAGTATGCCCCAAAGCAAGCCAAGGGCTCCATCTAGTGGGGTCAAAAAATACAGCAAATGGTTCATTTAGTTTCATTTGGTCATCATTAGCAAATACCCCTATTAATTCAATTTACAGTAATTGCTTAATAGCTCAAGCATATTTTACATCAACAGTGGTTTCTCTGCTTCATCAAAGTTATATCTACTTTCTATAAGGTATCACCAAATATAATGGTGCAAAATCAATGTCTTCCTTGTGTTTGGTGCATTTGTTGACTACAAATGCTCTAGAGGATTTCCCGTATGCAAGACTGGTTCATGAAAACGGCAAAAAAGCCCAATGCTTTCATTGCATGGCTAGCTGAGAATGTACTGAAGAATAGCTTAATATCCACCATAACTGATAACAATGGTCAACAAATAACACATAACAAACAGAAATGGGTCATTCTCCATTTGGAGTGGGAAACCATGTGACAGAGGCTGCAGGGCTTAAACTCATGCTTAAAATATAAGGCACAGCTCCAAGAGTCAGCATGTACCTTAACATAGCTGATGCATGAAAACACATTTCCTTCATGATTTGTTATTTTATTTTTATCGCGTTTCATACTTGCTCTAGGCCTGTAGATTAGCTCATCTTAGGGTTTTAGAAATGCATCGATGCATCATAATCAATACAGATCAGAATGTGTGATGAACCATCCTTGCACTACCCTCAACACCTTATGTGCGTAACTCGTATGAAACCATGCAGTACAATATGCTCCATATAGGGCATATTTCTCCACAGGATGTTTATACGTCTCCTGTCAAAAATGTAAAACCAATTTCCAGCTATTTATGGGAGTGTACAATTACCTAGAAGCTTGTAAAAATGATACAGCCCGTAAAAAAAAACCTGTCTCTGATCCAGGGGGTACTGATTACAGTCCATTGAGTCATGTGAATTCTTGGACCTATACCTGATCAATCACTTGAACACTGGAATGTAACACCACCTGCTCGAACACTGGCAAGAAAATCTACCACGATCACATAGGTAGTTGCCAAACCCTAATCCCACTGGGAAATGCTATTAAAAGTCTGTTTATAGTTTCTGTTATACTGGAAACTTTGCTTTTGACCACAACCACTGATCATTAAATGCCTCTGCTGCTCCTGTAGAAATATTTTCCTACCTTCAGGGTTATTTTCTATCTCCGGAAGGCATAAATAATCGTGTAGAATTCTTACCTGGTTGTTTAACAAGGACTCTGCTTGCTTGACGTCCCTCAAGAAGAGGTGGAAGATGTGTGCCTGCACAAGCACCTCCCGACGGCTCTCCCACATCTCCAAGAGTTTGTTCCAACCTACATCTAGCTTTTGTAACCACTGCTGAAGGGCAACATAAGGTAAGGGTGCCTCCTCAGTCTCGAGTAGGTCGTTGACAGCCTGAAGGCGCTCGTAATCCTCCTCATAGCGGCCTATCTCCTCCTTGAGGGCCGCATGCCGGTTTATGAGCCGTTCTGCTTCCTCCAGGGAGTTAGGTAATTCCTCTGATGCAACCGTTGTCTGTGTTTGTACTAGCCAGGTCAGGAAGCCATCAAGGTCCTGGATGAACTGCTGTAGTCGACTAGCCACCGTCAGCGAATCCTCACAACCCTGTAGTGTGCATTTCAGCTCTTCCCATTCCACGCTAATTTCTTCAAACTGCACCAGCACCTCCATAGCCTGGTCGGGGTGGGTTGCTGCTAGCTCTTCCGCTTCCTGTTGCAAATTGATGAGCTTTGGCTCCAGGATTGACAGGGCTCCCTCCATGGTGGAGAGCTTGCGCTGCAAGGCCAAGACTCCCCCAAGGTCACTCCCTGCATACTGCGTAGAGTCAATGGCTTTGCGCTTTTCCCGGATCTGGGACTTGATCTCCGTACACTCCAGCAGGTAATTCTGGATGCGGAGAATGGAGTTCAGGTGGTCTTTCTTCTGCTCTACCAACTCTACAATGCAGTTCCACCTACATGTATAAAAGACAACATGTGAAGGCTCTCACATAAAGGGTTTTACAGCTACTGAATCAGAAGCAATTATAGTATTTTAGTATAAGCCCAAAAAACGGATACTCCCTTGAATATACGCAATACTAAATTTGCCTTCATATTTGTGACTTTGTAGCATGTAAAATGGAACACCACATTACTGTCACATAACCTGTGACCTGTGGAACAAATGTGAAACCCAAACTATAAGATGACATATGCAAACTAATATGCAAAACAGTTTAGGCAAAAAATATGTAAATAGCATTATAACATAACAACTATGTCCAATTTGCTCTAACTACAAAAAAATCTGAGTCAACTTCTTTCTTTTTCAGTTTTTTAGCGGTGCAGCAGTGAAAAAAGTCCCCCCTTAAACAGTTTCCAGCTGCGCCACTTTCCGAACGTTGTGTAGGCTATTTAATCCGGTATTGCGGTATAAGAAAAATTCATATCATAACAATAAAAAAACGGTTTTCAGTATGAACCAGTATACCGCCTAACACGACATCAATCCATCAACCGTTCTTGACGTTTGTTTGGTCGTCTGATAAACCACCCTCAAGGGTTTCATTACATCTCCATTATTTGTGGCTTCCCCGTCTGTGATCCTCTCTATTGCCTTGCACACCCCAGCTGTGTCTACACAGGACTAGTCCTGGGATAAAATCTCATTTACACATTTCGAGGGGGGGCACCACATGCTAGTGTTTCCTAACAGGTATTCAGTAATTACTTCTTGCATTATAATATCCGCCATTTTTTAGTATAGACCAACTTCATTCAACTATTTAATATTCTATAACTTCAGTTATAACTACACACACACACACACTGTAATGTGCAAAAAGTTTTAGCCCAAGAAAACAATGTTTAAATGATCTTCATGTTGGTGTAAAACTGTGTCTGTCAAAGAGTGTCCGCTTAGCCATTTCCAAACCTCTCCTAAAGCCACCCTATTTGCAGCCACTCGACCACTATCACAGCTCGTATCAATAGCTAATCAATACGAGGTCTGCCAGTGGTCAAGTTGCTCCAAATGAGGTGACTTTAAGAGAGGTTTGGAAATGGCTAAGCTCATGTCACTGAATTCTTAAAGAATTTACAATGATTTAATTAAGTGTGCTGGTGGTGAAATTCCACAAATGTCTCTAAAGAGAGGTTTGGGAACTGAAGCGATATTCTTCTAGCCATCCTTCAAGATATAAATGAACTTTTGGAGAACGGCGGAATTTCTCCTTTGTTCTGTTGTGTTACTCTTAATTTTTATATCGTCTAATATTGAACTGTGTTCTTGAGCACATATACTAATGATTGCCGAATGAAGCTTAATGAAACATTTTCAATATTTTTTGACCCCCACTAGATGGTTTGCTCTGGGGCATGAACTGAGCCCTTTTTTTAATAGAGAGCACCATCTACTGGTGTCAGAAAATACAGCAATTGGTTCACGAAGCTTCATTTTGCCATTACTAACATATACGCTTACTACCCACATAAATAGCTTTAAACATTTCCTTCGAATACCTAAGACTTTTGCAAAATATTGTATACATACAGAAAGATGGCTTACCTGCCGTTTAGGTGATCCTGACAGTGCCGCACCTCGTCGGAGCTGGGATGGTCACCGTCCAGAAGCTGCTGAACTATCTGATTGACATCCAGGATCCTTCCCATCAGGCTGTTCATCTCTTGGTCCAAACTCTCAAATCTATAATAAATCCCCCCATATAAGAATATACCAGGCCAAGCACATCTCTTTTAAAGTATCTTCGTTAAGAAAATTAAACTCCCATTATAAAACGTAAATGCTCATTCAACATAGATGTATTAATATTTGACACAACCTTCTGTGATTCCCTAATTATTAGGACATACTTAAAATGTATTAATACGTACTCCAAAGTGTGTGTGTGTGTATGGGGGGGTATTTTTTTTGCATTCTAGAGATTGATTATTTCACTAAAAAACTGAGCCTTTTTTTTTTTTTTACTAATCGTTTTAATAATTTAACAAAACAGCATTGCAGAAATAGTGGTGGTCACATTAGTTTGAATATTTCACTTACGATTTTGAACCCTACATTTAGGTATGAGTCAGACATGACGGGCGCATAGTGAGCTGTACCTGTGAGCCACCACTTCTACATCTTCCAGCCGTTCAGGGATGTTCATCTTATTTAGCCACTGCTCCTTCTCATCAATCCACACCTCGCAGGCATGAACCTCGCTGAACATGCGGTAAACAGCCAGAGCATCCAGGAGCCACTGCTGCCGCAGCACGGACACCTCGGCCACTTCCGTATAAAGTTGTTCCACCTCAGCCATGCGTGCCTGAACTTCCTCGAGGTCACGGTACTGCAAGGTTAGCCCCACCATATGCTTGCGCAGGGAAACGACATGTAGCCTATGTTTCTCAATGTCCTCCTGCACACCCCGATGCTTCTTCAGTAGTGACTGCGTGGAATATTCATCATGGCCAAAGTCTTCACTGGACACCAGCCGGTAAGTGTCTTGCAGCCAAGCGAGCACGTCGTCTGTTTCGACGTTGAACTGGAAGAAGTTGAGTGCATCCTGTAAATGGTTCAGCCGATGGCTTGCCTGCTCTTCTAGATGTTTCCATTCGTCTTTTAGTTCCATGATCTTCTCCTGAATTTGACCTGTCCCAATGGTCTTATGATTGAGGAACTGCTTCGCTTTCTTCATTGTCTGTTGCAATAGCTTGCGTCTACTCAGCAATTCGCCCGTCAGGGTCTTATGCTTGTGCAACAGACGCAACACGCTGCTCAAGTCTTTGCCGAAAGTCTGAGCAGCCAAAATGGCTATCTTCTCGCGAATCCAGGCCTCTGCCTCCTCCACCTCTTGGAAAAAGGCCCAGAGCTGGCGAGAATCCTCCAGCTCTGACCTCCGCTTAGCAGCCAGCTGCTTGAGCTCTTCGAGGCAGGTGGTGACGTGGTTAACTCGATTACAGATCACCTGTGGGTCACAGGGCTGATAGCCTGGAAAAATAAGTAAACTGAAATTCAAACACAAGCATGTAGATAACTATGAGAACAATATCAACTTGGCAAAAAACTAGTCTATTCCACTGTTATATTTCTATATTTGGGTTGGATGTTTAAGTGTGAAACCACAGTCATCCATCCATCCATCCATCTATTTTATGAACCCAATTGTCCTGTTCAGGGTCACCAGGGGTCTGGAGCCTATCCCAGAGGCTATGGGTGCAAGAAATCACATTCATTCAAGTTTACATGGTGTGCATGAGAGGGTATTTTTAAGGTTATGTAGTTTGTTGCTAGTCTTGTTTTACTACAGTTTTCATATGTCATCGTAATTATGTGAGCCAGCATATAATTACCAAATCAAAGCAAATATGGCTCCGTTGAATTGTACAGTTTTAATCTGAGACTCTTGGGGCAGTTTACAAAGAACACTTGAGTGGGATGCTTTTAAATAAATACTGTTATCCCTCTAAGAACAAAAAGCACACTATGTTTATAGATTCATAAAAACAAAATGCATGCAGGTTCAAAATTTTAAATACTGGCATAAAGATTTTTGAAGCATCTGTTTAAACATGACAAATGCATACATCAAAGTTCATCTATCCTTGCAGAAAGTGAAGATGGCAGATTTGTCAATTTTGGAAAACTGAAATAAGACTGTAAATATTCAAAACTTCAGCTTACTTAAAATATATATTTGAATAATTTTTTATAAGGGATTTAATGTTATATTCATAAACTGCTACATCACCTTTACAACCTGTCATATTTTACGAACGTGCGGGCAAAGTTGGGTAATTCAGGTCCAGAGAGTAAAAGTCCAGACCGAGATTTTGTTTCAACCAACAAGTAGAGCATTAAAAAGTCACAGTCACAGAGTATACAACTGGTTGGTTGAAACAAAATCCCGGTCTGGACTTGAATTATCCAAATCTGCATGTGGGACAAGTCCTTTTCTTCATTAGCCTACAGTTTTATTTTGCGCTCCAAACTTGACGAATCTGCATCCGTCTTCTGCAAAAAAAACTGACTGCATGCCGCGTGCCGTGACCGCGCCTGTCACCAGTTAACAGGATCACCACTTAAACCATACCGCTGGCCTCAAGGAGTGCTAAGGAGACACGGCCCGTGAGTGATTATTACTTCCATCAGGGGGTGGAACAGTTTCCCTTTGCCAAGTTTAAAGCTTAAGCTGGGAGGCAGCCAAGGGAGGAGAAAGAGGGACGCAGGTGTGTGTATGGGGAGTGAAAAAGTGTGTGCGAGTGAGGGTGACCGCCCTGAAGGGAGTGCCACGTTCTACCTGATGGATTATGACAGAGTGAGGGTGACCGCCCTGCCTCCTGAGTCTTGTTTTGTGCAGAGGTGGGTAATTCAGGTCCAGAAAGGACAAAATGTGGTTGAAACAAAATCTTGGTCTGGATTTTTACTTTCTGGATCTGAATTACCCACCTCTGGTTTTGTGTAGCGATCCTCAGTCCACGTTCAAGGAAGAAGAACCTCTGAACTTTCACCCACCTCCAGAAGTATAATTAGTGTTAAACTAAGCACTTATATTCTGCTGTTTATTTGGATGAGACAGATGGAAGGATGGCACAGTGTCTCCAGGGTTAGGGGTTCAGAGTAGGATGACCAGATAATCCATGTCAGCAAGGACACTTTGAACTATGACAGGATTTGCAGAGTACCACTTAAATCAGAAGGACCTGGATTTCACTTAAGCGCCGAGTTCTTGCTGTGTGCTGATTGGTCAGTCTCCTATAATCATGCATGTGTCAGTAATGCTAATGAGAAACAGCTGGATGAGTCTTTCAGTCAAGGAAACAAACCAGTCAAAGCACAGGAACTGAGCAATTCAGCCAAGTACAGGAGGCTTTCAGTTCTAAAATAGTTTGTAACACCTGATTTACCTTAGAGTGTCCTCCCTGACATGGGGTATCTGGAGACCCTAGTTCAGAACATTCTGTGTGGAGTTTCCTCCTACAGTCCCAAGGCATAATTGGTGTCTCTGTATTGCCTGTAGTGTGTATATTCGTTAACATGAATAAATTCAATAAACTTGTGGATTTGAAATTAAAAGTGTTAAATGAAATTCCAAACCTTGAGGCACTAAATTATTAAATCAAAGAACATCATCTTGAAATGAAATACTATTTTGTATTGCATACACTTGATTATTCTTTGTTTGTCTGCCAAAGTAAAGAAAGGGCAGAGCAGAAAAGATGCAATACTGAGCACTACAATTACAAATGCAGTCCTTTTGTGCAGGTGCCTGTATCACAAAGCTGGGTTTTTGGATTAGCAAGATGACTTGTCGGATTTGAGGTAGTCTTGGTTAAATATAAGTAAACGAAGATAAAGTCCAGTTAAACTGGGGTACCTTAAGTCTGACAAGTTAGCTAGCTAACCTACAAATCTTGCTTTGTGATACAGACCACAGGTGTCTAGTGTTTTATTGGGTTTTGATACCTTTACAGGGCATATATGTGCCTTTTGAATGGCTTTTGGGGTTTACTCAGTGCTTGTTTATGCTTGTTTCAGTTAAAGACCACTTCTTTATACCTTATTCCAGTATCCAGCACATTATTCCATGAGGGGTGATCAATAAAGACATCCCCTGGTTCTACACTGCAAAAATCAAGCAAACCTAGTTTTTTTTTTCTCCAGAATTAACCACAGTAATTCTCATCTAACACTGTAAATGTTAAAGTTCTCCATGGTGACACCTATAATGGCCGACTTACTGTTGGGAACAGAGACAGAAAAATCACCATAGGAGCTATTTGTTTAACTCTGAAAAAAATACTTTTTATTCTAAAGCCTCATTTTTAAGTACAAAAATGACTGAACTAGTTCCACTGAAATTTATGGACAATGTAAATAAACTGAAGATGAACTTGCTAGCAGTCGGAGTCTGGTGATATTTTAATGCAAAGCAATATTTTACCTAGGGCATTATAAGACATAGAAAGAATAATAAAGATATAATTCCAACTATAATGATGACTGGGGAGTCCTATTAATAGGCTAGAATAAGATTTATAGGATATCATTGATCAATACTGGATATTCCTAAATGTCAGCTATTACTAGAAGTTAGCAATGACCTAGTTAAAATTTTGGCCCACAATATTAGTTATTAAGCCAATAAGACATTCTAATAGTTGTCCAGCTATATAAAATGACTGAGAGCCCCATATCATCTTGAACTGACATTGAAAAAGTTAAGGAATGTAACTTAAGGTACACTACCTCAGTCAAAAGGTTACACCCTGAACTGCGCACAAACTGCGCAAGAACTGCGCACAGTCAGGTCCTATTTCTGTGAGACTCTTTGGCAGGCAGGCCTCCAAGTCCTTAATGCTGACGGGACTAGGACCACTGACTGCGAGGTACGCAGGTGAAGCAGCTAAGGCAGGAGTCAGGCGCCAAGGCTGCGATGGGAATCACCAAAGACAAGGTCGTAGAACCAGGCAAAGTCAAAGGGGCAGACGACACTAAGCCGAAACTAAAAAACAGAGAGCAAACCTAGAACGTCTACATTCAAAGACAAGGTTGTAGAACTAAGCAAAGGACCAGAAAACACTAAAGCCAAAACTGAGAGTAAAACTAAAAAGTCTGAATTCACTGAACCAAACAGTAACACTTTACTTGAGGGGGCACAAGTAACTCAGTTACTATTCAAGTACAAATCATGAACAAATACAGTAACTTCATAAAATACATTAACCGTTATGATTGGGATGAAACAAATATGGGGTCAGTATGTAACTCACACTTACTATCTGGTTAATTAATAAATAACGTAAGAGTTAACTACATCATTACTTGTGCCCCTCAAGTAAAGTATTACTAAGCCAAACAATACAAGAATCAAGAAATCACACGCCAGAGCAAGAGAACCAAAAGCCAAGATATATATATATTTTTGATGGATATTTTGATTATATTCTGAAACCATCCGGAGAAGGCAGAAGGCAATTTGTGAAATGGATTCTAGTCTATATGTGATATTGGCCAGCATTTGCAGGTCTGAGTAGTGAATGCTGGTTTATGGAGATTAAATGGAAGTAAGTAAATATATTTAACTTCAAGATAAAGAAGGCTAATGTGATTTATTGTATTTTATCCTTTTACTTTTCATGCAATTCATATGACATTCCGAAGTGTTAAAAGTTGGTTAATTGTTCACAATTGGTCACAGAGTTTCACTAAAAGAGGAACCATACAGAACCATACAGAACCATTCAAAGCATTAAAACAAAATAAACTCAGTATTTAAAATTATATTACATTATATTTATGTCACATGGCTGCTAGCCATTCACTATGCTGTGCATGTTAGCAATCAAGTCCACATGTTGACACATTCTGCTGCTTTATGTCACTCTTTTTACACTGATAATATAAGTAATCATGATAAACGGCACAATCATTAAAGAAATACATCTCTAGTTTAAGGCCGTAAAAGCAAATAAATTTTAAAATATATAAAATGTATAACTATTTAGATCATATTGTCAGATATAAATGTGTTCAGTGTTTAAATGTGTCCTATTGAATGGATATAGGCACGGATTGCTTTAAAAGCCGTTTCCTGCAAAAACACTTTACCTTCAATGGTGGTAAATTTGAGGGCAGCAGTATTGAGCGTCTGGACTCTTTCTGCCTGCACTGCGATGTCGGCTTCCTGGAGACTGTGCTTTTGGAGCAGATCATCCACTTCAAGCAGATGCTTGCCAAAGTCTTTGGACAGAAGTTGCATCTAGATTCAATATAACAAAATTACATTTTAGATGATTGTACTATATACAGACATTATATTAAAGGGGGCCTATTATGTTCATTTTCATTGTTCATAGTTTAATTTTTGGGGCCTACTAGAACAAATTTACATGCTTCAATGTTCCAAAAATACACTAGTTTTTTCATCTCTATTCACCCTCTGTCTGAAATGGTCTGTTAGAGCTTTAAGCCACACCCCCAATGAGTCCAGTGTGCTCTGATTGGTCAGCTTGTCTTATTGGTCAGCTATATAACACAGTAAAGGAAAGAGAAAAATCGGAAAAGTATGATTGGGCCCCTGTAAATGTTTTTCTACTTTTGCTTAGGTTCATCTGTATTGTAATAGATGCCATTCTATAAATGCCAGTATCATAATATATGTGAAAAAGTTAATGCTAGTTCATAATGAGAAAGATATATACTGGTTTGGACCAAGATCAGGATTCCTAGGCACCTGTATGTCCTCCATCCAATCGATCATGTAGACCATCTCCTGGAACGTCTTCTGCAGAGCCAGGTTTTTTTCCAAACGTGCTTTTCTTGCCACCACCAGCTCTTTGAGAAGGGCCCATTGGCCCAGAATGTTCTCCTTGCGTGCCGCAATGCGCCGGTTATCGTAGTATCCCTCCGCCTCCAGCTCCGCCGCCAGCTCCACCACCACCCCGATGCGTTCCTCATACGACGAAATGTCCGCCTCAATGGCCTCATGCTTTTTCATGGCTGCTTCTACTGCTGGGAGGTCATAGCCAAAGTTATCCTGGAAAATAGCCGGGAATGGGATAGGGAATCAGTCTCCATAAAATATAATGCTGAATCTTCGATGCCAGTATTTCTTAACCCAGTCCTTGGGGACCCCCAGACAGTCCACAGTTTTGCTCCCTCCCAACTTCCAGCCAATCAAGAACTCCAAATACCTGGTTTGGGTGTGTTGGGAGCTGGGAAATGTCTGGGGAGGTCCCTGAAATCTGGGTTGGGAAAGACTGTTCTATGCTATTTATCTGTGCATGTACTCACAAATGTGACATAAGACTAGAACAAATGGATCTGTTGCTTATTTATTTGTTGTAAAATTAGCCCAGAAATATCTCTTATGTCCAAAAAACAATATTTGTCACGTTATGGTTTATTAATTTAATAGTGAATTTATACATTACTTGTGATGTCGGCTTCCTGACATAAGACTTACCTGAGATACAAGTCGCTGGTTCTCATTTAGCCATGCTTGTCTCATAGTAGTTTTATGGTCAAAGCGCTGAGCAAGAAGTTCCAGTTTCTCCTGCCTGATTAACTCTGTCCGCAGTGCTACACCCCTTTCATGCTCTGCCTTTTCCAGTCTCTCCCACATCTGGCCATAAAAAAAGGAAAAATAACTCAAACAGGTAATAAATATCACAGGAAAAGGTTACTCCACAACCTTTCCCAGGATAAGCAGTTAGAAGGTGGATGGATGGATGGATGGATGGATGTAGAATACAGTAAGTTTTCTTATCCTCTGCACTGACTGATACTGCACTAATATCCTTTGATAGTCTCTTCAAGTACAGTAACTGAACGGCCATTTAAAAGTCTTGATAAAATATTATTTCTTAAAGTGGCTGAATATTTGTGGCACTGTAGGTTGCATGTTCAGGTTGTGCTTTTGCAGGTCCTCATATTGTTGATTCTAAACTGCCCAGAGATTGTATTTGTGTGTGGGTGCGTATCCATGTGTGCGCGAGAGCATGGACTCCGAAGGGCCCTGCATCCCAGACACGTCACATTGCACCATACAGGATAAGCTTGCGTACTAAATGGCATGTGTTCCATAAACCAATGCATCAGGTAGTTCTGTAAAATAAGTTAGGGGGGAAAAAAACATTTAAAAAAAAGTATTTCTTGCATTGCTTGGTGGGCGTGTCAGATCTATGTTTAGGCAGCACACCCTGCAGCCATGTCAACCCAAATGACATCCCGCCTCATCTGACCCTTACATACAGTATTAAACTAAGGGCATTTAAGAGCCCCCCAGAAGTAAAACAGCATTATGAGGTATTAAGGCTGCTCATTGGTGAGCTGGTGGCAAGTTGTGGTTCACTTGCTTCCTGAACTTCTGAACATGATTTGGACCTGGTGTGTGTGTGTATGTGTGTATACATATATATATATATATATTGGCCTCGATTGGTTTCTGAATTTAGCTTGTTATGACCCTGATTCCTGGATTATGTTTTTCTGCTTGTCATTCCTCATTGTGAATCATTAAACCCACTTGCTCCGCACTCAGCTGTTTAAATATTTTACTAACAAAAAACCAGGCCAATCTTCTTCCAATCAGCCAGGCCGATATGAGCCTAACTAATTAAGGTCCTCACCATGAGAATAAAGAACATGTGTGACTCGGCAGAGCTCTCGCACGTCCCCTAAACACAGTGTCCGCGCGTTCACCACCAGGAACACACTAGGTACATGCACATCTGTCTTGTGGATTTTCACCAAACCACCCATGTGATTCTTCACAGTTCTTATATAATCTTCAGTGGATAGATGAGTCAAAAGTATTTGGTGATCTTTTTATATCTGGCAATTGTAAAACAACAAAAAATGTGTACAAAAATAATGGTGGCAGGTATTACAAGTTGTTTTTATGTAACAATGTAAATATGTAGCAATGTAAATTTATGTAACAATGTAACTTTTAGACTGCTGCTTGGAAAGGGGAGGGGCTCACTGGGTATCCTTGCTATCTCCCACCTCCATGGTTAGAGGTTTGAATCCTGCTCTGCATGTGGGGTTTGTATCTCCACCCTCTGCTATGTAGGCTTTCTCTCAACACGTAGGTTTCCTCCCATAAAGACATTCACTCCAACTAAGTGGTATCTGTCAGTCGACCCATCATGGACTGACATGCTGTCCAGGGTTTTCTTTGTCTTTGCCACAGATCAACGGCAGTCGGTCCCTTTCTGACCTACTCTGGGATTAGTAATTGAAAGAATGTGGTGAAATGCTTCGATTTAAATTTTCTTTCTGATTTACTTAATTAGTTCCCTCAAAAATTACACATTCTCACTTTCAGAGGTGAAGAACCAGAGTAAGCTACTAGCCATCTACGTGAACATGAAAATTCTTTAAGTTTAAATCCGTGTACTTTGAACTGTTGTGTGATAATATTACCCAGTAAATCACAATTCTGTCTTGCCTACTCATCCTGAAAAAACAAATAACGTCTGAGAATGCTGATTACATTTTATTGCTCATCCATCCATCTTCCATACCCAGTATAAGGTTGCAGGGAAGCCTGGAGTCTGGGAACACCCTGGACAAGGTGCTGGCCCATAGCAGGGCTCACACCCACGCTCAGAGATCATTGGCACTCTAAGGTCAATTCCCCTGTTTAAGACTGTGAGAGGAAACTCATGCAACACGGAGAGAACACAGGCACACAGGGGCCAAGGCGAAGACCTCAAACTCAGGAAGTGTGAGGCAACACTGATACCCACTGAGGGATTTTTACTTCCATAAGACCGATAAATTACTTTACTTTATAGCCCTCTTCAGGAAACCAGGCTTCTGCGAGCTTTCATTCTCTGACAGTCTGGACTGCGTTAATAGCAATAAATTTTAATCATGATGAATTACCCCATACTTGCCACTTGCAGTTTCTGAAATATTTTCGGTTACATATGTTACATCGCCAAATAACAGTTATTTTTTTGGTTAATTCAACACTACAAATTAATAGTTTGACATACTTATCAAAATACTTAGATGCATTGTAGTGATAGACAGGAAAAAAATTTGACTTATAGAATGTCATGGCAAAATGGAAACATCCAGTACCACGTAGGACTCCTTGCAATCTGTAATATCCCCAACCCAAGGATTTTTTTAAGGGAACAGAGGAAGAACAGCTTCAGGAGTTGACCAGGGGAGTGTTACCATGAAGCAGGATTTCTCTGTTAGCTGGGTTACCTTAAGCTAGAAGTTATGACTGTGCAATAGGAATGCTCCATATTTAACCTCTTATTTACGGCTTATCCCAGAGAAATTTATAAAAGTCATAGGAGTTTTTAAACAGACTCAAATTACGGTTTCCTGTGTTTGGCAGGACTTTTAAAGGAGTTTATAAACTGAGAATCGACCAATCAGGAAGCGAGGGAGGCAAGCTGGGTACGGTCAGGAACCCAAAAACAGACCCCCGAGAAAGACAGAGCAAATCAACAAGACAGTTACGAATGGCGTCATATCAAAAGCAGGCTTTACTTCACATTAACCTTTGCAAGCCACATACTGTATATAGTGTAATCGTACCTTATTGATATCAGATATCAGCTTCCCTTCATGAGGCACATATGGCTTCTGGTTGTTGGCTCTGAGTTTGCTTTGGATTGTGAAAAGAAGCACTTCTAAATTCCCCTTTTCCTGGAACCTTACAGAAAAGACATAGGAACTATTAGTAATAAGTGTGTTTCAAGGTTTATTTCAATCTCATTTAGCCATCAAATAAAAAAAAGTGTCATAATTAGACTTACCGCAGTGGAAAAGTCTATATTATTTTCTTTCAATGCTAAAATGCATGACTAGTCTGACAGTACATAAGAAACCAGAAACTCAATATGAAAATGAAGCTAATACCTAACTTAAACATCTACCGTGTTGCTGTCCAGGAATTATCATACAAACCGATAGCTTAGAACTAAAAAGAACCATTTAATTCTCTCCCTCCACCTGTGAAAGCTTTGACTTACTTGATGGGCTTCTCGATGGTACAGTATGTTGTGAAGGCCTGGAGTTGTTGCTGAACACCGGTTAGAGAGTTAGCAAACTTCTGATTGCTGATGATACTAATGGTCTTCTCGATCCACTCCAGGAGGTCAGAGGCCAAAGCATCGTAATGCTCAATTATCTTCTCTATCTCTATTGCATTGTCCAAAACCTAAAAATATATTCATTCATTAAACTCATTCTAAAAGTATGTTTAAGCATGTTTTAAACAATAATCCTGTCTTACAAAAATCAAAACCATATATTAAATATACTCCATCATAAGAATATAATAATACATTTTATTTTAAAGGCGCCTTTCAGAGCACACAAGGACACCGTACACAATTATACAACGAAGAACAATCAGAATAAACTTTACACAAGAATATCCATATTTTTGTTTTAGCACATCAGTGTATAGTATAACTTGAGTAAACTTTACTCATTATAGAACTGTTGAATTTTCTAATAGCTGATTTCAACATAATAAAGGTTTGTACTGGTGTTCTAACATATCTCCTACCTTTCCAATTCGTTTCCCTTCTACTGCAAGGGCTTTCATCTTCGAAAAGTAGTGATAGAAAGACACCACGTAGGTAATAATGGACTTCTCATCTGGGTTCTCCGTGTTTACATCTACAGATTTAGATGAGAACACACACACACACACACACACACACACACACACACACAAACAATTTTACAAGCTGGACCATCTATACATAGACTGCCATATCAGTAATATTTACAATAAATAGAACTTTAGCAAACAGATAATTATTCGTAACCGAAGATAATGCTTCAGAACCTGACCTTCAGGATCAAGGAGTTTTGTAAGACCCAAATTTTGCTCAGCAACATTGAAAGCTTGCTGTAGATTATATGTAGCGTTGGACTTGGCCAGCTTGTGGAATTCAATTAGATCAGGTCTAAAAGGGAAGCAAACACAGAAAATTGGACAAGAGGCTAGTTTCCAATGAGAAGCAAAAAGAGTTATAAGACTTTTAACACCTTCCTGCATGAACATGATTTAAAAGCTGCTCAACTCCAAAGGTAACAAGTCCAGCCCTGTTGCCTCAAAATAAACATTTTCTTGTTCAAAATATATTCAAGTCCTTAATGCTAAAGCATTGATTTTATAAAACATAAATATTTAATACAATTATGCTTTAAGAACATTTAAAAGAAATAAAACTGAAATACAATAATTCCATCCATCAGTATTAGAACCGGTTATCCTGATCAGGGTAATGTCAGTGTCCGAAAGCTTACATTAATTCCCGTAAAATAAACACATTGATATGCAGTGCATTTGTTAGCTCTATAAAAATTCCAGAAATCAGTACATATTCTGAAGCTTTTCATTATACTTCTAACTGAGCAAATATTTTTCCAAAAATAATTTTGTTTGCATATACACCCCATGATATACTCACTCACCTGTGTCTGTGGATAAGGGCATTGAAGGCCAGGCCGTCTCTCCAGCAGGAAGTAAAGTTCTGGATGTTGACCTCAGAGTAACTGAAAGAAGCACACAAGATATTGGCATTATTCACGTGAAAGTAAAAAAAAGCAATTTGAAAATTGTTTGTAACCACACATGCTTTGGGCCATGGACTGAGCCCTTTTTTGAATAGAGCACCATCTAATGGTGTCAGAAAATACAGCAATTGGTTCATGAAGTTTCATTTCGCTGTCACTGCTTACAAACCTGAAAGAAGCCCCTTGTTTTCGCCCACAAGTAGACTAAAAATGTATCAATCAGAAATACTGCTAATGCCTGTATACCATTCTTTACCATTCTTTACCATTCTTTCTGTTATTACATTCTGTTTAGACATGGGTTACAAACAGAAATAAAAAACATAGGTAAAAGTTTCCATTTATGTGTATGTATATACAGTATATACAAATATTATATGGAAATTACACGCAGATGTGTCTGTTGACCTGAAGAGCTCTCTACCTTGATTTTCTTTGACGATATCATATTACTTGCGACTTTTCATTAGTTAATAGAGTAATTAAATTATTCTGCCAGATTAAAATATACCGTTGACATATTGAGTAATTTGGCAATATGTTCAAACAAAAAATATGGTTTTCTATTCATGACTGTCAAATGTTTTTGGCACCCTAGCAATTTTAACCATGTATTTTAAAACAGCTAACTAGCAAGGCCTATGAGTCATTGCAAGAAATTACAGATATGGCAAGCAAGAAAAGCAGTTTGCTAAATGATCAGAGAATTAAGAGCAAGACCTTTACTTATGCACCAAACACTTAAGAACTGCCATTAATTTCTTTGTTTGTTTATTTATTATTTATTTAATCTGGTGACCTGTTATCTAATAAGAGTAATAGTTATTTTGTAGTTATTCACAGTATTCAACTGTGGTTATACTGTTACAAGTCAGCTGTTATTAACCACCTGTTTGGTATTGATATGTACTTTGCTGATACCAAATCTAGAATTCCGCACAACTAACCCGGCTGTCTTCATCTGGCACCACAGGAGAAGAGCATCTTTGGCTGAGCGTGTTTCTCTGTTGTCCTCAGTCTCTATCTTGATTACCTGAATCTACGGAGGTGAAACAGAAAACACAGCATAAAAAATGGTGGTCTTCTAAGAGCTCGTGTAAATCTTAAAGTTAATTTGCACTATTTATACATATTATAAAGCGAAATGTAGGAAAACTGAAGTGCATACAACAATTATTTTTATTATTATTATTAGTAGTAGTAGTAGTAAGATACACAAAGGAACATACTTGCCATTTAATTTGTTGTACTTTCAGCTGAATTTTTAAATACTACCTAGCTTCATTTTTTCCAAACAGCAAGTAAGTAAGTAATTGTACAACTTCATGGTTACCTGGAAACGCAGAATGATGGTCCATATTAAGCCCAGTGTGAGTCGGTGGTTGCCATCTACGATGTCGTGAGAACCCACATTCTCCAAATGGACCCTCTGCTCCTTGAGGAACTGCAGGGCCTTATCCACGTTCTCAAGGCAGTGGATGCGCATGCGGCCTCTTGTAGGCCTGGGCTGAGGGACACAAACGGTAAAGAGGGGAGTCAGCTGAACGCTACGCAGAGAGCTAGCCAGAGAAATACCTGCGCAAGTAAAAAGAGAAATAAAAATAAACTATCCATTCATCCATCCATCATAACTGGTTGTCCTATTCAGGGTCACAGGGGGTCTGGAGTCCATCCCAGAGGCTACGGGCGCACGGCAGGGAACAACCCAGGACACACTCACCATTCACACTTGGAGCAATTTGGTTACTCCAGTTAACCTCAGCATGTTTTTGGACCGTGGGAGGAAACCAGAGTAGCTGGAGGAAACCAGATGATGACAAGGGACAGCATGCAAACTCCATGGGGGAGACCCGAACCCTGGTCCCAGAGTTGTGAGGCAACAGTGTTAACCACTGTTAATAAACCTATAGAAATGTTTTAAATTCTAACAGTTTAACACGTAGAAATGCAAGCTTAATATTCCTATATCAACATCCAAAATGCACAATGATGTATACACACGTATTCTTTCATAAATTGGCAGTTATTTATGAGATCAGCAAAAAAAATCAAAGGCTGCACCTGGACACACATGACAGGTATCTACGTGTTTGTTTTGTTTAATGACGAGTAATGGATAAATGGTGAAGCGTAGGATATCAGCAAGGACTGGAAACTGACCAGCAGCTCCCCAGATAGGACTTCCAGCAGCCTGGTCAGCATGTAACCGTCTCGCAAGTCGTTGTACAGATCCGCTATCCTACAGGACACTTGTGCCAGGTGAGAGTTTACCCATTTTGTGAAGGTCTTTTTCTGCACGGCATCTCTCTCATCTGTAAATAAAAGTCATTGTTTCAGAAAAAATAATGTCAACAAACAAAAACATACACTCAAGGTGTTGTCACATGTGTGAAGGCACGGAGTGGGAAAAGAGGAACAGGAGTCAAGGAAATTAGGGATTTATTTAGGGAGAACACAAGCAGGAACACGGAGCAACATGCAGGACTGACGTCAATGACCCGACTGGGGAAACATACTCTAACGCAGACTTAAATACACAGAACTAATGAAACACAACGAGAAACAGCTGATGACACGGGGATTCCACATGAGGTAGCGAGGGGGGTGTGGCACACAAGAGGATCGGCATGAGCAGGGCATGACATGTTGTGTGCTTTGTAGTTGCATAGGTGGATTATTTTTGAAAAACATTTAAACTTAACTTTACAAACAATACGAATATTGATTTTTATACTGATTTTGAAATCTCAACAGTTTATTATTCATTATTATGGGAATATTAGCCGTTCTCCTCTTGTTGGTAGAGTTCTGCATGCATATTCACACAAGTAGAGTCAGGTGGTAAATGGATTCATTCTGTGTCTGAATTCTCGCATGGACTGAACACACATTGTCGTGCACTTTGGGTGTGACAGAACATATTCTTCCCAATCCCTAAAAAGTTGTAAAATCTTCATTAAATTTTTGATTCCTGCCCGCCCATATAAATATTGACATGGCCGTGTTTACATCCTGATCTACATTATTTTGCCACAAGTAATCAATGTGGACAAAATGTAAACATTGGTAATGTCATTTTCATCAGGGTAATAAGGTTTTGTCCATCAAACCATTTCTTCCTTTAATGGAGTCTTGAGTGGTTTTATATTCAATTAATAACAGCTGCGAAAATGCAGGGGTTAAAGGAATTAATTTAGTTCACTTAATGAAACCTGAACCTACATTGAATCTATTCATATCCTGAAACACATAGTCTCACTTTCCGTCTCTGCATCCATCAATATGAGGGGGCCGGTAATGTGTTGCTGGTGAAGATGGTACATTATATCAAATAATCTTCTGGTATTGTTAAGTGAATTCCATTACCTAATAAACCCTGTTTGGTCAGGATAAATGATACTGGAAAGTTTCCTCTCAGAATGGATTGCCAGTTATTTAAGTAGAAATTGTCTACATGTAATGAATTGATGGGTTCGTGTCAGTTACAGATCCCAATGTCTTTCTCATTTTTGTGAATAAGTGAGGATTCTTCAAGAGACTTCAGATTTGATATTTATTCCTTCATAACTTTGAAATATTCTGAAGGACAGCAGTCTGGCCAAGTTGCTTTTCATTAGTAGTGATGTTTTGTTTTTCTTTTTTTCTGGTGGTATAGCTGTTTTAGCAATACCAGTGGTGTCTAGGAGGACACCTCAATGAACAGGCTTGCAGTCCAAGCCCGTACTGCAGGGGTGGGGAAACGTCCCGTGACGTGCCAGTGTGGCTGCGGGGATTTGAACTGCCGACCACAGGTTCAGCGTCCTAATCCACAGAGTCACACGCTGCTTGCATTTCTTGAATTTATACCTTTTGATTGCTTACACAATTCTACCAATATTTGTGATTGTTTCTGTTCTAGAATTCCAACGTTCTATCACTATATTTAAAACAAAGTGAAAGTATATATTTGCCTATACCAGTTCTACCTATCCAACTACTTCACTCTAAAGAATGTTATGTAGCATATTTAATCGTTAACCTTACATTGGTCATCTTGAAAAAGATGTATCTGCCTTACATTTTCCAAGACAAGGTCTAATGAAGTGCACCACTGATGGGACAAATGCCTACTAAATTGGATTGCTAGTGCATGCATGTGTGTATGTGTTTCTGCATGTCAGTCTGTGAGTAAAGGAAAACTGGGAAAGGCTCCATGCGTTATACCTGCAAGCGCTTTGATGCGGGAGCATTCAAACAGCTTAGCGCTAGTGCTCTCTGAGTCCCAGGTATGGCCTCTGCTGCTGGCTGGACGATTGTTGTTGAGTTGACCTTGGGCCTCAACATTGTCCAGGTCCATGGAGGCGTTGGCCATGGCAGAGGTATATGCAACACCCTGTGGAACATATGATGGACCACAATTAAAGTTTAAGTCATACATAACACAGGATACATTTTATCTACGTAGTTATTCATCTGTCCTACATCCACATTTTCATGGATACACACAAAGAGGTACGATCCGTCCACCAATCAAGACTTTAAAAAACAAGGTCACAGGAACAAAAATGAATGTATCACCTTATATCCCAATTCCTGTAACATTAATAACACAGCAACAGTAAATCAGACTTTTGTTGGTTATATACACATTCAGATGTTGTGCAAGAGAAGAATGCTGACATCGTCTTTTTCCAAGTCTGTTAAGCTAATTACTACAACATCATCATTTTAGCCATGGCAAATAGAATAATTTTATTTATTTTTGCAAATCTATTGAATGTGCAAGTTTATTATCACAGCTTGTTATTTGAGAAAAAAATTAATATATACAATAATAAACAAAGTATTGTATTGTGGCTATTTTGTGGAAGTCTAGTGGAAGTCTTCATGTTGTATAGCTTATTCTTCAAAATAAACTACACAATATCATAGCGTAGAATTTCTCAGACGACATTTCTGCCATATTTTGTGGTTTCTTTCACCAGAGCACCATTCAAATACAAAAGGGGTCTTATATTACTGTATATTCATCAGTAATAAAGAGACCCCATATTTGCTATTTGCACAAGTACACTGAAACACTTCTCCTTACATATCCCATCTTGCTCTCCTTTTCAGGAGTCGCGCACACAATTAACAGTCAAGCTTGGGTTCTGAGCACAGGGTCCAGACCATTTATTTGGCACCACTGGTGCACTGTGGGTAGCTAAGGGCTGTGCTCAAGGGCCGAAAGGCCGTCTACCATGGCTCGAACCGGTGACCTTCCCGTCCCAGGGACAGAGGCTCAGCCTACACACCAAATACTACAAACACTTGCCAGGCAACCTAAACTTCAACAGGCCATATTTTTATTTGATTCTGCATTCTCCCTGGCAGCCCGTTTAAAAGGCATCCTTCTCCTCTCAAGTAACTATCACAGAAAAGATGAATCCACAGATATAACATACCTGAGATCCCTCCTGTTTATTGTGTATGTATTCATTGACGGGAACAAAAATAATCCTTAAACAGCAAATATAAAATTATTACCCAGAATTCTCAGTTTTATTGCGTATGATTTCAGGTGATTTCAGAACAGATTATTTATCAGGAGATTCTATTTTAGGGTGAGTGGGACACTGGACACAGGATGAAAATAAACCTTCCTAATAAACAAATGTAAAATTTCCATTACAGTAGGGACAAAAAAAGAAATCACTGTAAGCATTGTGCATCATGAGCATGTGCTTTGGGGTTACTCTGGAAACAAAAGCACCACGCACATTATATGTTGCAAACCAGAGATTATTTTAGAGACATTTCTACATGGCATTCTCCTTTATGATTTCCATTATAACCTTAATGTAAAGTATAAATGTTTAAACAACGTATCTGTTATTTAGAAAGCTCTCAAATGATTGGCGAAGAAATGGAAGAAATGGGACTGGAGATAATTAGGTAAAAAAAAAAAATAGGTAGAAAGGTGAGTTCTTGCCTTATTACTGTTTAATTGCAAACACTGATTAGCATCTTATTATTTTGCCAGTTGCATTAATGGTTAGCTATTGGAAAAAAAAAACATCTTGCGAGACACGTACGTTCTTTAGATATTAGCCGCTTGCGTATCAGTGTGTGAAAACACCGGAAGCCTCAGTCCTACATTAGGAGGCTTCCTGAATTCATACACTCATTGGTGACTTGGTGGGAACATCACTGCCGCACACCTACAAGGCCAGGGGATTGTTAATCCCGCCACTGATCTCTGTATGGTGTTTGCATGTTCTTCCTGTATTACATGGTTTTCCTCCGGGTACTCTGGTCTCCTGCTGCACTCCAAAGACATGTAGTCAGGCAAACCGGCGTATCTAAATTGCGCACAAGCATACAAGCGTGTTTTTAAATTGCCTGCCATCTTGCCCAGGGTACTGTTTCCTGACCTGGACTGATCACCTAAGTAGTCAACAGGTTTCTAATAGCTGCATGTCTGTGTAGGTTGCACATCAAAAAAAGTCCAAGGTTGTGGGGGTTTGATGGGGGGGGGGGTTGCCTGGAGACTATCCCAGGCAGCACAGAGCACAAAACTGGGTGACACCCTGGACCGCAGTTAATTTGAAATCTAAAATTATGTGATTACAGTTCTCCCCCAAACTCATGTGATTGCAAATACCTTATTGAACTGCTGCTCACTGTCAACTATGCTATGAGGACAGAAACAGGTGCAATGGCTGCCCACAAGGGATGGAAAGATCTAACAGGAAAGTAGCCTGGTCTGGGTAAGTTTATTTCAGGTTATGCTAGACTGGAAATCTTTAAAAGTAAAACATTTCTATAGTTAGTTACAAAAAATAAATCTTTTTAAAAAAGGGGATTTCATTTTTAAGACTTTTTTAATAACTAATACAAGGGACAGTATTTATATAATGCTTCAAAATAAATGATTGATAATTAAAATCAATTTTTATCTCACCTGTGGGAAAGAACGTTGCATTCGATTCTGTCACATTTGAAAGTGCATTGCATCCTTATTATAGTCTATTTTAAGGGGATCACATTAAGGTGCTTACATTGGAGAAATAAAAAAAAAAAAAGTTGATGAAGATTATTTAATTTGTTTTATTTAGCCCTTAGGAATCATTCTGTGTCAATAAACATAGACTCAGGTGGTGTGCTGGACCAACCAATTGAATCTGGTCTTTATACCTCCTGTGTCGCTGGGGGTTTATGCCAGTTAGTTTTATAAAGTAATATGAGTTCATAAATCAATGAATTAATCTTCTAACCACTTCTCCTAGTCAGGGTCACAGGGGGAACGTGGCCTACCCAGAAGGCACCAGGCACAAGGCTGGGGTCCTGGACAGGATACAGTGTACACACACACACACACACACACACACACACACAC